CATATGAATTACCCATTCTCAAGGGAGAGCCCAACCACACTAAGTCATCTGTATAGTACCAAATTATAATTTTGTGTGTGTGATGTTTGGTGCACGTGTGTGTGTGTGTGTGTGTGTGCATGTTCGTGTGTGTGTGTGTGTGTGTGTGTGTGTGTGTGTGTGTGTGTGTGTGTTCGTGTGTGTATGGAAGCCTGAGCTCAACCTCAGGCACTCTTCCTCAGGTGCCACTTTGTTTTAAGACAGGGTCTAGAACTTGCCACGTAGGCTAGGCTGCCTGGCCAGGGAGCTTGGGGATCTGCCTGTCTCCATGCTCAGTGCTGAGATAACAAGGGGTGAGAGACCACCACGTCAGGCTTCTTACACCAGTTCTAGGTGAAGTGGGGGCTGAACTCGGGTCCTTGTGTTTCTAAGGCAAGCTGTTTACCAATGGAGCTGGATCCCTAACCACCCCAGAATTATGATCTCTCCTGACCATGTAAAGCCAATGTTCCCGGAACAGAAGCCCTTGATTCCCATTGCCCAGAGAGAAGCTTCTGGTCCATTTTCAGTGAGTCCATGATACCGATCTGTACTTAGGCTTATAATGAAAAGTGTACTTTTCTGTAAAACAGACTTGGAAGCAATCAGTAGCAACTAAAAACGGCAGGTTCTGATGTCCTCCAAGCAGTCCTTAGAACTGTCCCCTAGCTAGCACTTGGGAACAGGGAAATGATATGAGGGACTCAAACTGCAGTGTGATTGCAGGCCTGTCTTCTCAGGAGCTGGCAGCAGAAGGCTCTGAGCTGTCTCCCCAAACAGCCTGAAGACAGACTGACTAACCATTGCACTTTCGCACAGCGTGCCTACTGGCTTTTTTTTTTTTTTTTTTTGGTTGTTGTTTGTTTTGGCTTCTTGATGAGAATTTTCTTTTAGCCGCCCAGCATGCAGCGTGACAAAGCCTGGAACCACAGCCTGTAGATAGACTTACACAATTTTTGCAAATGGAAACAGCGATGCCAGAGAACTGGAATTGTTTAACATGGAGAGCTGACGGAGGACGTAAGCTGCGTTCAAAGGCCAGGCCCTGGGGACACACAGAACCCTGGCCACTTCACTCACCACTGATAGGAAAACACTTCCTTCCACTGCCAAAGCAAGCAGGGTGGCCACAGTTTTGCTATTAATCTGCCAGTCAAGTCACTTTATCCCTTAGATTCATCCCTTTTTGATGTGTTAAAGCCTTGATTATGCTTTGCCCAATCTAATCAAACAGGAAGTGAATGTGGGAGGCAAGATGAAATCTTCCCTAAGGAAACCACAGAGCCAAGGAAAGATAGAAATTTGGATGGTCTTAACTCTTTCTATTTATTTTTTCTTTTCATGTGTATATGTGGTGCATGTGATGTGGGCCTGTGTGTGTGTGTGTGTGTGTGTGTGTGTGTGTGTGTGTGTGTAGGCATGTGCATTTACTGAGGCAGAGTCCTCCGGAGCCTGTCTACTCATCTAGTCTAATTAGCTTGCCTGGAGATCCTGTCTCTGCCTCCCCAGTGCTGGGAGCACAGGTGCCCCCCCACCTGCAGTTCTAGCATCCAAGCTCTGCCCTTCAGATATGTGTGGTGGTGTTTTATCTATTGATCCATCCCCTCAGTGTCAGGGCTTCCTTAACTCTTATTCAATGTGCATGGAGAAAGAAGCAAGCACCAGTAATCTACCAGACAAAATTTGAAGCTGGATGGGGCCCAGGGACCTTTCCCAGTTCAATGATCCCATCAGCTCTGGTTTCCCTTCCTTCCTTCTCATTGGGATTTTCTGCCAGCAGCAATGGGTCAGGGGAAGAGGATCTAAAATCAAGAAGGAAGAAGTGGAAATGGAGGCAGGCAGCCATGGGAAGTGCTGAAATCAGGCTTTCCCAATTCTGCATTAATATTCCTAGTCCTCCTGGAGGCTTCGGGAAAAGCTGCCTGAGTAATTAACGCCCAGTGCAGTGGCCCTTCCTCCATGCCGTGAGTTATGTCTGTTCTGAGAACCTGGTGAACATTCACTCAGAGTAGACATGTTGATTTCCTGGACACTGGGTAGTAAGGGGGCAGGAAGGGCTGTGTGAACAGTGCAGATAAGATCAATGCAGATTTTTTGAGCCAAATAAAGGCTTTCCTTATTTTTTTTCCCACTCTCAGAGGATTTACAAAACAGAGTGTGTCTGGCTGTGAGAACAACTTACACTCTCATCTCCAAGATCCTGACTCCAGTGTTCATTTTTCTGACAGAAAACCCAGTTTTTGAGGCTGAAGTTGTAGAGACAGTGATGAGGACCCAACCACAGATGCCTACAGTAGTGAAGCCAAGTGGGAAAAATAAGATTTTTCCCCCAATAGAATTCATCTGCTTGATTTATTCAACAATCCAGCTGTGACATATGCTCTTGACCTGCAGCATGTGGTTTTGAATTATCTTATCTTATTTCATGTGTGAGGAGGATGTTTTACTTGTGTCTCTTGTCTTTGTACCACATAAGGAGTCAGGAAACTGTGGAATGAAGAGCAGAGTCGGCCCCTCCCATTCAAAATGGAACATTTTCTTCAGGCTCCAGGTAAACTGAATTCTTTTATACTCAGGTTGACTTGATTGCTCTTTCTAATGGGGGCTGAAACACTGGGTCAGACTGAGTCACTCTGAGTCTGGCTGCTGTCTTTTCTAACTTGCCCTGCCCTCTTTCTTGGCAGTCTCGGGTCTCATGTCTTATTTTGGCTCTATGAACTGAGCATATGGTTTGCATGAAGATTCTTGTCTTGCACTTGTCTCTGAACCTGTCATTGGGAAGTGCCGCGAAGGGCAGAAGTCATAGTTAGACATCTCAAGTCCAAGGAGAACGAACTTAGCCCTAAAGTCACGCCTGATCTCCTGGCTGAGGAAAACCAGACTCACGGGCAACCACTGTTAGTGTCTCCTTATAATTCTGAAAATCTACTCACCGAGGTAGTTTGCTAGCTCTACTATTCAGATATGATACTTCCCCTTAGAGAAATATGAGGATTTTTAAGAGAAGAAAGCAAACAGAAGTTTAAAATAAGAAATGCTGGTCTAGATGATCTGGTAATAATGCTCAGGCTTTATTATAGATTTTGTGTGACAATTTACTTAACTTTTAGCCATCTGTAATTCCTAAGCAACTCTGTCCTGATTTTTTCAACCCTCACAGTCATGTGAAAGATGGCTTAGTGGTTGTTTTCAACAGCTAATGCTTCTTTCAAAGTTTTGTATGACATAATTGTGTTCTATTGCTCAGTTAACTCTCTATAGCCATTAGCACAGTGGTAAAGAGTCTTTGTCAACCAGTGAGAAATCACAGTAACTGAAAGATACAGGTTGTCCAAAACTCTGTGTCAATCCATATCAATCCATTTTAAGACCAGTCTTGAACTTGGGTACCTTCATTTCGACCCAATCAAATTTTCATTATCGTCTGCCCCTCTGGTTGTTGGGTTTTAAAAGAAGATCTGCATCTTGTTGGGGAAAGAAAATACCACAGAAGGTGCTTTGCTTAGCTCTAATTGTCAGCTTGACACAGCCTGGGATCACTCGGAAACAGAGTCTCAGTGAAGGATTGTCTACACTGGGTAGTTGTGTAGGCATGTCTATGGAAAACATTCTTAAGTGAAATGAGGTGGAAAATCCTCTGCCACTGTGGGCAGCACCAGTCCCTAGGCAGGTGTCCCGAAATGTGTAACAGTGGAGAAATGAAGCTGCACAGCAGCAAGTGAGTGAGTTTATATGCATGTGTTCATTTCTACACTTGACCGTGCATGTGATATGACTATCTGTTTGAAGTTCCTGCCTCAGTTTCCCCAAATGAGGGATGGTAATCTGCAATTGTAAGCTGAAATAAACCCCTTTCTCCCCTAAGTTGTCTTTTGACAGGATATTTTATCACAGCAACAAGTCAAGCTAGAATAGCATACTAGGTTAATTATGTTATTTTCATTGTTATTTTAGTGACGCACCCATGAAATACGTGTTTTTATTCCTACTTTTATTCCTATTTTATAAATGAAGGGGGATCTGGGACTAAAAGAAATTAATCTGGTATATGACGTCCATAGAGTGCCAAAGTCTGTGCTTATTTCTATGTGTCATACAGGAGAGAAGACAGCAATTGATGACTTAGTCATTACATTTTGTACTAACATAACCCTCCATTGGCTTAAAACAAAGAAAGTCACCATCCCTTACATCTATCTGACTCGGTGAAGGACATGAGTGTATGTGGTCACTTTTCAAATTCTCTCTTAAAAAATGACATTATATAAATATTTACCATTCCATTAACTGAGGTAGTTCAGAGAATATAATGAACACAGAATGATTTTTTGCTTTGGGGGCTACTTTGTTGTGATTGGCTAAAACATTGTGATATGTTAAATTTCATTTGGAACATAAACAAACCTGATCTATTTTAAAGTCCAGATAATGGAGACAGGTACTGACTCTTAGTGGAAGGCTAATCCTACCAAGTGTCTGGAACACAATGAACGTACCGTCCTGACCTCCAGCCATCTGTTGGCAGCCGAGAGAAATAAGTAGGCAATGTTGTTCGTGTCTGTCAGCTCTAGCATGCGTTGCTTGAATCTGGTTTCATGCCTGCAGAAAACAAAAGCACTACAATGTTAGCCACCTAACATAGAAGTAGTAAAAGCCAGACATGCTTAACTATTGCACAATTTGTTCAACAGAGTGTCACATGGATGGGATGGGTGACTTGTGAGTGGACTTCTGAGCTGCTCTGCTGCATCCTAGATAGAACCCAAGAGGTCAAGTGTTTGCTCCCTTTTCATGCCACAACTAAGAAAAGAAGCCATTGCCATGACAAAACTTCATTAAAGGTTACTTTGTAATTCTGCTAAATTGGAGGAGCCACGTAAACAAGACCTGACCTGAATCACAAGGGCTACAAATATCACAATAGGCTCTACTTTGATTTGAAGCATTTATTTTATTTTTCCAAATGACACTGATTTGGGCTGGATGAGAACCAGTGAAGACAGAAAGCTAACATTTACAACAGGTAAATATATTCCTTCAAACTCTTTTTGTCTGGCCTTTCTTTAAACCAAAGAAAGAAAGTAGGGTGCCAAGAAGCAGAGGGCTGAGGGGTCTTGCAGGTGACAGGAACGACCCAGGGTCTACTTACAATGACCTAGGAACATGAAGGGGATTTATACACTTTGGGGGATGGGGAATCAGAATAGAGATGAGAGAGGAGAGAGGAAGGCAAAGCCAGGCTTCCCAGATGGTCTGGGAGTAGCTTTAGGAGTGAAGCTGGGTTTCTCAGGTGAACTGGGCATTGTAAGTGGCATGAGAGAAAGTCTGCCATCTTCCAGGGCTGGGCAAGTTCCTCCCCGTCATGGCCATGGTGATGGAGAGACTGATCCATAAAGAGTTAAGCTCATCCTTGGTGTCCAAGACAATCAAATAAAATTCTGTGTAGCTTATTTTACTAGCAGAACTAGGAATAACCTTCACACAAGCGTATGTTGTATATGAGCACCTCCACCCCAATCTCTTGCACTACCACGTACAATGAATGTATGCAGTGGAAAGTTCATAAGAAATCAAAAAGAGCCTTACATACTTGATCATCAGAGGTGTGATTCCACAGACGTACATGCTGAAAAGCACCTTTTCTAAGTAGCACAATATCCTTACTTTGTAATTATTTTCCTCGAATGACGGAAACAGCAGAGAGCTGGAAAGCAGCTGACTTGAACGTTGGTTACCTCCCCAGCTGATATGCTGCTTCCCTCCCTGTGCCCATGGCCGCTGACGTAACCCATCTACGGGCCATTTTTCTAAGGAGTTTCCAACCCGCTAGTAAGACTCATTTGCTAAGAGTCCTCCACTCCTGTAAGATCTTCCAGTAAAATTGCAAAACTTAAATAACTCATCACTTGTATGAAAGAACGGAGGAGTCCTGGGTGGGGTGTTTTTTGGCCCACGATCAGAGCCCATACAGGCCAATGTAGAGCAGATACTTGGGATCTCTCCAACCAATCTGATCATTTCAGTGTGCCAAGCCAGATAGATAATTTGGTCAGACAGCAATGTCTGATCTACAGTGATCAGAAAAGTTAGCGGTGAGAGCCAAACCATTACTTCACTTTGAGTTATGTAGGCTTGAACTAAATGCCACGTCCAGGGGGACCTGTGAGGAGAACGGCAGCACAATGGCTTGGGACTCAGCAGTTCAAGAAGCATGTCTGCCTTCCAGATGACCTTGACGGGTGACTATAGTAAACCACTAAAGGGTGAAGGGCTTAGGAAGTCGTAGGATTTACGGCAATAGTGGGAATGAAACGGTGAAGGTTTTTGTAAGTGTCACACTTCCATGCTTGCCAGGGGGATGTTGGGTGTATTTGCATGTATTCATTTATATGCATTTAGTCAGCATCCGTTCTTCACACTGTGCTAGACTCTGGAGATGCACAACGTCTTTCTCAGGATGGGGAAACCACACTAACCAGTGAGGCTGATGTAGCTAGGACCGTCCTTTAATGGCCCCAAGAACATAAAGGGGAATGTGCATTTCAGGATCTGAACAGAGTCCAAGGAGAGGGTGGGAGAGGGGAGGGCTAAGCCAGGCTTCCCAGAGGACAGGGAAGATGATCCAGTGTAGTTGTAGGCATGACACTGGGTTCCTCAGGTGAACAAGGCATTGTAAGTACCCTGAAGGACAAGAGACAACACAGGAGGGAGAAAATCCAGTGCTTTCCAGGATCATGGAAGCCATACTCTGGGACCTTCATCCTGCTGCGGTTGTGGAGTTCCATCTCCACACTCCACACATGCGTAGGGAACTGGCAGCAGCCTGAAGCAGCAAGGAGAAGGAGGGGTGAAAATGCAGTGAGCATTCTTTCTCTGTCTCTATTTGGCAAGAAACCTGCTGTTTTCCTAATGGAAACTTTGACACACTCAGCCTGCATCTTTTCATTCGCATCCAGTTCATCTTCTGAACATTCTTAGACCTTTATTCTGTCAGATAGAAAAATAATAATAAAGCAACGGCAAAGGTCACTGACAACTCTGACTAATTTAGCTGCGATACTTTCCTCATAAATGGCGAGAGGGTCACTGCTCCGTGTGAGTGCACCCTGAGCCCTGGGTGCAGAGGGAATGCAAGGTCTAATCAGTAAAGACAACTTTGAGAGAAGCTGGCCCAGGAAAAACTGAGCAGACATAGAAAGGAACAGATATGGGAAATCATGTGCTTAATTCCTTTTTAAGTATTTTCTATGATTTATTTTGATTTTAATTGTGTGTATATGTATATCTAGGTGCACATGAGTGCAGGTGCCTGTGATAACAGAAGAGAGGATTAGACAGGCCGTTGTGAGCCACCTGATAGGGATGCTGGGGAGTGAATCCTGATCCTCTGCAAGAATTGTGCCCAGTCTTAACCACTGCACATCTCTCCAGCCCCCAAGAACATGCTTCATTCTTATTATGAATGCCAGCCCTAAGGATTCTAGAAACTTATGCACAACAGGCAGGCCATCACCATCTTTTAAAAAATACTTATTATGACTAAAAATATGCAGTTGTTTATAATATTTAATATCGACTTTTGGAATAAACATGAAAAATCTAATTCTGGATGTAGATGCAGAAAAGATATTTCTAGATGGAAGTTAGACCATCTTTGTTTCTCACAACTATTGTGCAAGCACTGAATGCTAACACATAATATTTTGTTATTCTTACAATTATCCAGAATCTTTCTCAATGCACAATTCACTAAGTTCTACTCTGTGTCTAGGGAAGAAGGGAAATTTAGAAGTTGGACCTTGACCCCTGGTCCATTTCCTCTTCTATTCTAAATCTTTCTCAAATTCCTAAAGATGCTCCCCCTGACTCACATCCTTGGCAGTTTCAGAAGATGACCTACGTTGTCCCACAGGAAGAAAGTAAAGATTCTGATGTGTTGAGCCCATCAGCTTCCTGCTGTCACTCCCAGCTTCCCGAACCCCCCCCCCCATATCCCTCCATGCTTTCTCAGAGGCACTCTGTACCAAATCTCCATCAAGAAAAGCACTCCCCTCCTGGTCACACCCTGTCAATCCATATTAAAACCTGTTCCATCAACTGCCCCATCCTGCCTACAGCTCACATCTTCCCATCAGCCTTTAATCCATCAGCCCTCTGAATTCTGATGTCATTTGTCCTTAACCAATTCCAATCTTGTTATGGTCATAATTAGCACTGGGGATTCCTTATCCAGAGGACGCCTTTAATTTCTTTTTATTCTTTTATGTTTTTACCACTGTAAACATTCAGCTTTTTTAACATGCTCATTTGTCTAACCACAGTGACAAAATCATCCTTTTCCAAGTTGCACAAAGCCTCTCTGATCCGTTCTTTATTCCTGTGAAATTCTCAGGTAATTAAACATTCCCCGCTATCCTGAGCTTTTGCCTCCTCATGTGATTTAGTTTCTTAGTTGGTCGAAATTTTTCTCCCTTAGAAGAAAGATGAGATCTTCCCTGAGAAGTGGCATTTGGCCTTATTACATCCCTGAAGTCTTGGAAAAGGAGAATCAGTCTGAATTAAGGTCCATCACAATGATGTATCTTGTAATGCTGTGGCTCAAATAGCCTCCTGACACCTTCTTACCTTTAGCCTCAACCATCCTGACTCATCACTTATGAGTCAGTTATTCTAATTAGTATAACTCTGTGTCAGTTTCCTGTTGAGATTCTTCAGCGACTCTATAACACAGAAAGAATAAAGTCCAAGTTCCATACAGAGGAACTCATTCAATATTTGTTAGCACCAGCCTCCGAGTGTTCAAGCTTCATTGTGATGACCTCCATCTGTGTGTTCATTTAATACTGGATGATTTATACATGGAATAGAAATCTTCATGCTCTTTTCTCTGAATATTCTGTCCCCTTTCCTTCCAACTCAGCTGTTCTTCATTCTAAGGCCCATTGTCCTGTAAGTGTCTCCATCTTCTTTTGATACAAAGTGCCACCCAACCCTTTGACACAGCTGTCCATGTGGTGACTCCATAGATGTCACTATACTGTCATCTTCTTCCTTAAATCCTGTATCCTGTGTGGTGACCCCCTGAGGACAAAGCCTATACTAGCTCATTAGTCAAGTACCATAAGCCTTTCTCAAGTCACAGGAAGTTAACTTGTGAAAACAAAACCCTGCTCTCTCAGAACTCATATTCTAGTTGGAAGAGATTGGGTAATTAACAAGCAAATATTTTTAGTAAAAAGATAATGAAAACATACTCATAAATAATCATAAAAGAAATAAAATCATCATGTCAGCTAAAGTAAAGAACCCAGCCTGCAATTAGGATGGAGATAAATGGCCATGTGTATTCCACCTATATTAATCTACATTGAGAATAGTACTTGGTGTGTGATAATTATTCAAATAAATATTTCTTTTATAAACTATTTGGGAAAGACTTTCTTGGTGGCAACAGCAATCTTTAATGTTGTATTTGTTAATGGTTCCTGCTGAGCATTATTAGACTATAAATTTCATGCCAGTATCTATATACTCAATACCAATAAGTAATGTTGAGATTCTCAGTAAGAGGCATTACACTCCATGTTGAGAAAACATGCCAGGATGTGAAATATGGGTGGGGTAAGTGAAACTCACATGGATTTAGGTAGAAATCATATCATACATTAAGTAGGAAGTTGCATTTTAATGTTCTACTCTATGACCCATTTCTAAATTCTTAAACTTCTTAGATTGGAGATATCTCTGATTAAAGTCAATGCATATTTGTAATAGGGTTGAAAGAAGATACAATGATTAAAATATAAGTTTTCCAGGACGAAGGAAATATCCAGTAATGCCACTTTTATGATCTAACTTGAAGAGGAAAATGGAGCTAGCTCCATGGAACCCTAGGTTATTACTGTGCACAAACATTGGGAAACATGAGTTCTTTTCTGTTAGTTATTTGTTTTGTTGTACTTTTGAGATAAGGTCTCACAGTGTTCAGTCTGGCCTTGAACTCCTGTAGTCTAAGAGGTCCTTGAACTCTTGGTCCTCCTGTCTATATCCCCACTATGACCATCATCAAGTGCTCGGATTATAGGTGTGAATTTCCAAGCTTGGCTGGATTAACTTCTAAAATAACTTTGGTGTAATGGTTTTCTCTTTTGTTAGTATCATTATTACTATCACACTCTATAGATATATTTTAAGTTGTTTACTGAGTACTTCAACAGCCACTGTGGTTCAGTCCTTACATGTATTATATCAATCATTCTAATGGCTGTAATAAGCAAGACCGATGCCCCATTTTTCAGATGAGGACAAAGAGGCTTTAGAATTAGAAAACCTTATCTAAGACACACAACTAATTTCTTTCCACTCTGTCAATTCATTCTTTACTTTTAAATTTTCAGATAAGTAATTCTAAACAATGTTCATTTTTATTACCGTTTTCTAGTTCACTGTGAGAAACATAGTGTGCCCCCAGAAGGGGTGGCTGTTAGCTCTTCTTTGTTGATAGATATTTGTGGATGGATTTACCACCCAGGGGCAATCTGAAGATGTGTTACTCACCTGAAGGCCCGGATGGTAGTGAGCCCTTCGGCTGTTTCTGAAAAGTGGCAAAGCAGGGGGAGCTGGGTGCTGTCATCAAGTTCCTGGAGATCCCTAGGACAAAGGCAATGGTACGTGTCACCCACCTCCAGGTTCTGAGGCCACCATTGAACTTGAAAGTTCTCAGACCCGAGTGCTTGCTCTGGTCACCATTCACCTGTTCTCCACCCCTATCTAGTTCCTCTTGGTTGTCATGCTAAAAGCTTCATCGAAATGTTTCCCATGTGAATATGACTTATTTCCTCATTCTGCGTCCCCACAGCCAGTGTATTTCAACTGTGACATAAGACTTGGAGTTTTGTAGACACCTTAAATGAAGTGTGGACCTGTAACCCTTACACAACCATCTTTTCCTTCATCTTCAGAGTGTAAGCTGTTGAAGGTTTTGTCAACTGAGTGCTTCAGTGAAAGAGTTACCATGACAAACTATAAATGCAAATGCAATGAAGAGAAAACCTTGATTTAAAATGGATGGATTGATGAAAAATAATTCTGTGAAGGGTATGATCTTCTTATTGCTATTGTTTGGGGAGGGGAGTTGGTTTATTAAGAAGGTGTCTAATGCACTTTGCTCAGCCTGGGTGAAGGGAGGAGGGGACTGGACCTGCCTTGACTGAATCTACCAGGCTGAGCTGACTCCCCAGGGGAGTCCTTGCCCTGGAGGAGATGGGAATGGGGGTTGGGTTGGGGGGAGGGGGGCACAGGAGGAGGGAGGACAGGGGAATCTGTGGCTGATATGTAAAATTAAATTAAATTATAAAATTAAAAAAGGTGTCTAATGTAACACATGCTGGCCTTGAGCTCACAACGTCATTCTTGATGACCTGGCACCCTGGATCTCCTGTCTCTACTTCCCAAGTGCATGTGCAACTATATCCATCACAAAGGTATAGTCTTGTAAATGTGACACTGGACTGTAGAGGATTCTTAACCAAATGAAAAACATGACTGAACAGTAAAACAGTAAGAGCTGAGCCTCCTTAATGATGTGAAGAATGAGTGAGTAGTTGAGACTGGGAGAGCCTATGGGAGGGGCCTTTAAAGTTCTGAGTTAGTGAGATGCTAATCAGTTTAAAAGAAGAGAGGGGGAGTTGTGGTAGGAAGTTGCTTGTTAGAGGGAGCTTCATGCACTGCTGTGAAGCATTGGTTGTACTGAGTTTCCAGTACACGAGATTAAAAAATAACTGCTACTTACCACCAATGTTGAAGGACAGGGCGGGGTAGGGGTTGGGGTGGGGGAAGAGGACAGAGAGAGGGGGAGGGGAAGAGATCATAGGGAGAGATCCACTATGACCATGAGTTTGGCTCTGGCCACAGTGAGCTGAATCCCTGCCTCCAAGGAACTTTCACTGTTCCCCCAAGGAACTAATGTTCATGTCCATACACGAATATATACATGTCTCCATAACCTACTTAAAAATAGAAATACCTCAATCTTCTTAATGTAACCCTTTTCACAAAGGTGTGTATTCATAAATTTCCTTTTAAAAATATATAGTTTATATTTATTTTTGTAGGAGCTCACCATGTATCCCAGATTGGCCTAAAACTTGCAGAGATTCTCCTGCCTCAGCCGCCCAACTACTAGAACTACAGGGATTCATAGGCGTACCAAAGTCAACAACTTTTCTTTAAGCCATATAAGGTTACATTTCTAGAATACAAGACTGAGTTAAACCAATGGTTAGAAAGCATTTCACTTTTTTCTTTCCCTTTCTGCCCTTCTTGCGGTTATGGAGGTTGGGAGAACTAGAGGGGCTGCCTTTCCATTCACCTGTGAGCATCTAGTGAATGAAGTGTTATTCCATAGCATCAGCCATGGAAGCCGTTCTTGGGCCAGCTGACACCAACAGATGGCCAAAGCCACTACACTGCAGTCAGGGCTGAAGTAAACATCACGGAGGAGCCATCATTGTTTACAGAAGGATCATGTGTGAAACCCAGAAGCTAAAGGCACAGCTTGATCTGTGTTCTTGTCAGAAGGAAGCATGTAGCTAAACACCTTTAGACATGTGACTTTAGATGTTAACGGTCATGTTGTTGTCTGCCGTGAGCTCCCTACTTCAATTCATTTGTATGCATATATATATATATATATATATATATATATATATATATATATATGCAGTCTATTCAGCTGTGTGAGCTTTTATCCTGAGTGAGTCACAGGCAAAGTTGTTGAGCCTCCAAGATTTCACATCATTGGTCATTGGTCATTGGTCATTGGTCATTGGGTTGTCTCCCTGATTTACAGATGAGAATGGGTAGACGGGAATGACTGCTAAGTCTGTTATTGACTCTAATTCCTTAAGAAATGATTGTTGTGTTACAGTTGGCTCTTTTTAAAAAATTCTATTTTGTGCCTTTCCCTCTTTCACCAGCATTAAAAATAAAAATTCTTTATATAGCATTTTAAAATACCATGCCCTCTATTATACTCATGTGAACAAATTATTGGACTATGTTTCAGGAGCAAAGTTCACAGCTCACATTTGGAGGGGGTTAGAAATCTTTGCCTAACACTCCCCACTTGGTTTATCTTGGTGATGGTTCAGCTGAGCTTGTGGTTGCAGTAAGATACAAATGCTTGGTACGAGTGTTGAGAGACACTGACTGGCTCTCTGCAAATCAATGAGCAGTCATCAACCAAGTCAGACCCGGAGACACACAGTGTAGTGTAGTGTCAGCGCAACACCAGGGGAAATGGAAGTGTGACTCTGACTACTGCCCCTTCCCTTTGGTCTGAATTTGCTACAAAAAAGGGGGGGGGGAAGGAGGGAGGCAGGAAAAAGGGAGGAGGGAGGGAGGACACAGATATGGAGGGAGGAAGGAAGGAAAAAAGGAAGAAAGGAAGGATGCTGGGGAAGAAAAACCACTAAAGTAGAACACACATCTCCAGTATGTGAAGGGTTCTTCACTCACAGCCCTGGGGGATAAATCCTCTAAAATGCTATGACGTGAGGTGGACCTCACTGGAGCCCCTTCCCTCTTCTTCTCTCTTCCCTGGGTAACTTCATCTTCTTTGCACGCCTGTCACATGAAGTACGTTCAGTTTCTAAAACACGTCTGCCTTTTATTCTAGCTCAATCCATATGTTACTTTATATATGGCTTTATCTTCACGAGAGATGGGTTTTGTTGAGAATAGGTTTTTCACCACCCACCACATGGCTCAGTACAACAAGCATTCAGTGAGTGCTGAGATAGACCCTGCAATAGTAAAGCTCATCGTATTCTCTAGGAAAGCACTAAACACAAACTTCCAAGTTTATAATGGCAGACACTGTATTGATCATTAATCATTCAACTTCTCAGGAAATAATAAGTCCTGTATTGACAGAAAATCTAAAATTAATTCTTCCCCTTTATTTATTTGCCTGGATTAGCAGGTACATGGAAAATTTTGTGAACTCAAATTCTCCAGTCTCTTAAAGTGATGGTATGCCTCTCGGATGCTCAAGATTATCCAATTGCATAGTCTTGGATCATTTATCTCTTCATCTATCTTCTTCTACTATTTCATATCATGTATTTGAAGGATTTTGTGATTTAACCTTTTTTTCCTGCTTTGAAATATACTGGCTTGAAATTGCTCACTCTTCAGGACTATGTTTGATTTTCTGAGCTTCCTGCCTATGTTACATCCAGAAAAAGAACCATGGAATGCAAAGGCTAGCACATCGAACTCAATAGACAAATTGTTGGCAAACTGAACAATAAGTTCTTATGTGTCAAGGGTTAGGAAGAAACAGACAATTATAGAAAGAGTGACATTAGATCTCACATGGTGACATGAGGTTTTAGCAAAACAGTTGCATTTCTAAATTCTCCACCTTAGTTTGAAAAACAAAGAAACAGTTGAGCAAACAGTTCCCAATGAGTTGACTATGCAGGCTTTTGAAAGGGGGAGAATGGTTTACTTACTTAGAAGCGACTCGGAAGTACTTCTGGATGAAATAAAAGGCAACGCCAAGGGGCACAAGGGCGACCAGGAACACGGGTGTCGCGTAGGAGATCATCCCGATAGCGGACAAGCAGAGCAGGGTGGATCGGGTCAGCGACTCCAAGGTTGGAGGGATGTGCTGCGGAGAGAATCCAAGGGACAATCTTCTCAGCTCATGCGCAGTACCCACGGCAGTGTCATAAAATATTAACTCTTACATTAATGTTCAGTAATATGGGCTGTCAAAGCTGTCTATAGGCAAGTTCACTGTACATAATCCCACATGCTTCTGTCATTTAGTAGCTGTATCCTTTGACATATCACTGACGTGTTGTTCACCTACTTATCTTGGATATTTTATATAAATGATGATACTAGAGATCTTTTTCACCCCTGTGTTTGTTTCGCTTTTCTGTGATGGACTGTAGATATTTCCAAACATTCCTTTTGAATGCATATACACTATCTAAAGCTCATCTGCTCCTCTACTGTAAAACACATAGATTATTTTTCCTGTAGTTGCTTGTCCTTTGAGTATCTTTGATTGCATTATTTGCCTTTTCCTTATTGAATTTAGATGCTATCAATATATTGTAGTGTTCTTTTACAATTTAAATTTGTCTTTGGTTGGTGCTTTCAGCTTAATCAAAGTTTAAATTTTTGTACAGTTATTTCTTTTGTGTGTGTGTACAGTTATTTCTATTTGTCTTTTTCTTATTTTCTTGCTATGTTGTGTCTTACTTCAAAAGACCTTTTGCAGTTCATGGTTCCAAAGCTACCCAGTATCTTTTATTTCACCGGGTTATGGCTTTATGTGGCCATTTTCATTCTATAGCCGTTTGTTTTATATTTTATGGATAATTATCTCAACATCTTTTAGTTTAAAATTAATGATTCTCAGAGATTCCAGATGCCACATTTATTTTGTGTTAAATTTCTATGTTTACTATTTGTGTGTGCATGTGCACATGTGTGAGTTGGTGTGAGTGAACATGTGGTAGCTTGAGATTGACATTAGTCATACTTATCCACTTTATTTTTTGAGTCAGGGTTTCCCAGTGAACCCAGAGAAGGCATTTTGCCATGATGGCTAACTAGCAAGGCCCTGGCATCCACCTGCCCCCTGCTGCAAGGGACTTACATGCACAAACCCGTACATACAACTCCAAAATTAAAAATAATAAGTCATAAAAATTAAGATGGGGAGTAATTGAAGAACATGCCTTATGTCGACCTCTCGCTAACACACACACACACACACACACACACACACACACACACACACGAAAGAATGCACAGGCACTTATATGTCAAGTGCATACACTCATACAAACATGTGCCTACAACACACAGGCAGAAATTTTATCCTAGTAATTATTTTTTTTTTCATTTTACTATGAGAGCAAATGGGCCATAATTTAAATTTTAGTAATTCTCTACCACCAAGAGCCCTCAAGTCCTGTTTGAAATGCTATTTATTTTACACTAAGAAATTTGTCTTAGAACTTAGTACCAGCTCAGATACTCACCTGGTCAATGATATTAGTATCAGCAGAAAACCGGTTGAGAATCAGTCCCAGGGGTGTGGTATCAAAGAACCTAGGCAGGGAACAGATCAAAGAGTATGGTGATGTGGACTGTCTGGGCCAGAAGCACCAAGGGGCATCTAAGATCTTAAAAATGATCAGTATGTTTTTATTACTACATGCATAGGAGCAAGAGATCGCTGTATTTTATTTACCTTATTGGCCCAAGAATTATCTTATTCAGGAGGTTGTGGTGGAGGTTCTTGGCAGCTGTGAGGCCCATCCATTCTACAGTGAGGGAGGTGACCAGGCAAAGGAAGATGCCAGCTCCGCAGAGAATGCTGAACCCAGCCACGTAGAACGTCTAGGGAGAACCAGCATGGAAGCTGATATGAGAGGATTACCTGGGCTTTTCCTAACTAGAAAACAAAGCATCAAAATCAGACAGATTGTCTGCATCCTTATCTTCCTTGCATTCAGAGAGCTGAGGACATATGGTGGGTATCAAGAGCAGTGCGCCCCTCAGGTCAGTCCCACAGGCCAGGCAGTGCCCGCCTCTCCCCCATGCCCCCCGCTTGCTTTTTTCACCAGCAAGGTCTGGCCTAAGGACTGCAGGATTGATGTATCTTTCAGGCTGGGGACAGACTCTTGGTTTTCTACATTGTCAAGCTCGTTCTTCCCATTCTTGATCACAAAATGACCACTCAGTATACTGATGGAGGATTGAAATCATCAGAATAACAGAATTTCACTTACATGTGTTTAGCATCTGATATATAATAGTAACATGCATTACATATAAAACAGATATATTGAACCCCTTGAATCTGTATCTAAATACTATGATGAAATGCTTCTTATGACAAGAATGTAAAAACAGGGCTGGAGAGATGGCTCAGCTGTTAAGAGTGCTTACTGCTCTTTCAGAGCACCTCTATTTAGTTCCCAGAACCCACATTGAGTGGTTCACAACTGCCTGTAACTCCAGCTCCAGGGGATCTGGCACCTTTTTCTGGCCTCCAAGGCCACTGCACTCATGTGCACATACCTATACACATATAATATAATACATAAATATGTAATAAATAAAAATAATGTAAGCAAATATTTAAAATGATAAAAACAGTAAGAGACATCATCTTTAACATTGTTGGCAATTTACCTTTTTTAAAGTGGTTCCCTAATTACTAACATACTGAACTTGCACCAAACTCCTCTGGCCTTCTGATTCTTAACTGATTTCAGCAAAGAGCCTCCCTCTCTACCGTTTCTGGGTGCACTGTACCTGGTCAGCTTTCCCACTGTGGTTTATACTGTACTCGGATGTCCATGTAGCCAGCCAGTAGTCTATAGCCACAATCACTGAGTGCTTCAGAAGCTTAGAGAAGATCATGAGGAAGAGCAAGAAAAACCCTCCTGAGGTGAGGTACCACCAACAGGTTTTCCAGGGCATCTTCGTCCTGAGCCTCATTACAGTTGACATGTTATCATCCTCATCTTCCTCCTCTTCTTCCTCTGTGTGTTCACACATACAACAAACTTTGTGTAAGCTTCAGATGAGCACCAGAAATAATTTTTATTTTCTACCAAGAATATGAATAACCACATTTAATATTAGCTTTGGAAGTTTTAAATACTTTAAGTAGTGCACATTTCAATGTTTTTTTTTTTCTAAAAAATGGCTTGAAAATGGTCATACATGGTGGCATGCTCCTGTAATCCCAGGACTTGGGAGCCAAAGGCAGGAGGATCAGAAGTTCAAGGCCAGCCCCAGCTATAGGATACATAGGGAGTTTAAGGCTTGCCAGGGCTGTGTGAGACACAGTCAGAAGAAAGAAAGGGGAAAAAGGAAG